TTTTTTTCTGTACATTTCTCTCTCGTCGCGTCTTGAATTGGTGTGTATATTTTTGAATAAAAAATCATTCAAATAAATATTATTAATTGTTAATATAATATAACACATGTATGTGTGTAAATATAAAAAATAAAGTATTTGATTACGTGTGATAAGATAAGGTGTTTAGAAATAAATTGTATTGTAATATGTTAAGTWTCATTGAAATGTATGACTCTGTAAAAAAGATAATATGTATTGACACGTGAACTGTAAATGATCAAGTTGCTGATGAAGTCCCCAGTAAGGGACGAAACGTACAATTAGTTCAAAATAAATTGTTCATAAGATTTAATAACCGTCTATAATTCCCTTTGAGACTTATATTAATAATATATTTCTGGACAAGAATATTGATAATATTAAAATAAGAAATAAATTTGAAGAATTTAACATAAAGACACATACACACACACATATATCAGTAGTATAATAAATGTATAAACGTTAAATTATTTCTAACCATTTTTTTTATTTTGCGAAATATTAAAAATAATAATAATGACGGATAAAAATCTAGTAGATCATCTAAGTACGTTCATTGTTCGATTCTCAGTGAATAATACTGAAGGGTTTAGTCGACCTTTTCTTACCAAGATAGATAGAAGCGATACTATAATATCCGGTACGTGAACGCTATACCTTTTCTCCGATGCTTTAAATCTCTCTCTCTTTCTCTCTCTCTTATTTTTCGCTGTCTCTCGTTCGCGATTCATAGATGCCGACTACACGTGGTAGAGACGCGATTAGCCTCCCGTCGGTTCTCGTTCTGCCCTTTCGACCTAAACCATCGTACTTGTTGCTCGATGATTAAGGACCTTCGAAATTCACGACTACTAAATCAGTCTAAAGTGCAAATTGTTATTTTCTAATGATATCAATTTTTACTTTATTAAGATCGATGCTTATAATCCTTACACTCATATATATATATATATATACATTATTTTGTTTTTTTTTTATTATTTATTATTTATTTTTTATTTTTTATTTTTTTTACGTTAAAAGAATGTATATATTTTATATATATAAATATAATTATCTATATTATTAATTGTATATTATATAAATATATTTTAACACGTTCAGTGTGTGTGGCATGCAAATTTTTTCTTTTTAGATATTATGTTGAACAATTATTTAGAACAAATAAGTTCCAATGTGTAATCATGTGTAATTCATTTATTTTATTAATGTAAAAAAATATAAAGAAAGTTTTGTTAATGCAAGTTACCGGTTAGCACCATTGCATTCGACATATACAAAAAAAAAACATACGAATGTTTTAAAAATATCTAATTATTAACACGATATATTAATTTACATTTTAATATTAGATAAGATAAAAGTACTTTGCTATTTTAAAACATGATCCATATATATACCAAAACACTTTCAACTTTCGATCTTAAATTTTGTACATTTACAATTTACTTTGATTTATTATTATCGAAGTAATTTTTGAATATTTAAATTATCATCACGTGGGGCATCTCTATTAATTTTATCGGCATAAATATCGACGGTAAAAGAATTTCTTTTTTTTTTTTCTTTTTCAAACCTATTAGATTCGCATAAAAAGGATTATTAACATACCAACAGATTTTAACGAGATATAAAATTTGAATAAGAAATAATAATAAGGAAAATGTAAAATGAGAAAAAAAGGAAGAAGAAGAAGTAAAAGATAAAAAGATATTTAAAACATTGGGAATATTAAAAGAGAAATAACCGACTAAACGGGTTTCAAAAAGCAAGTATGCTCGTTTACAACTACACAACATTTTCCCGGAAGGGTGGGTCGTCAGTTCGATGAGAAAAACGATAAAAGTTTCCTGATAATTTCCCCTTTTTTTTTGGTTTTAACGTAGAAATCTTTTAAATGATCACGCGATGTTACCAATCCACCTATGAGTTTACATATACATACATACATACACGCATTACGTATATGCATACACATATATACGTTTATATACAAATATGATTATACAGAGTGAGTAAGATAACACCGACCACATGAATAATTTTGTGTAATTATAGTGATAAGAGAAAATGTTTCAAATAAAAGTTATTTGTTGTCGAGAGTTGAGTTATTTCATGGGAAACATTTTTCATCTTTTTTCCAGTTGGAAACATTTTTTAAATAAAACTACACATTTTTTTTGAATTTCTACAATTGCAACTACATTTTTAAGACAATTGCAATAATCATCTACGATACATTAAAGATAACTTATTTATTAAAGATATTTATACTATATTATTGAAGATCATTATGTTTAAATCGTTAATGGAATTAAAACGATCGAAAAATTGTGTGATATTTCGTGATGTTCCTATAAAGAAATCTTTAACAATTTTGAAAATCACTGCTTGTACATTATTTTAAACAAAAATTTGTATTTTTTGATTGTATTTCTTTACATTTTAAATCTTTTCACCATTGCTTACGTGTTTTTCATCTGCACAACAAAAATGTCTAATTTTACGAAACATAACTCCGTTCTCTATGCAAACGAATAACTTTTAACACACGTGAAATTATATTTTATCTTTCCTATAATATCATTAAAGTAACTTCAATAAATTATTATTGTTGAAATAATTGTACTTCGAGATAAATAATTATTGTTGAAGTTATTTCGTATGATTGATCTAAAACTACTGACTCACCTAGTATATCATAGATATGTATATAAACCAATAACATTTTCAAAAGTTAGCGTGCACGCGTCGTCCTGCGTGCTAGACAATATTACCATGAATGCACTGGTATTGCTGGTCTCTTGCTGATACGAGCAACTAGTTCCTCGCAACGTTAACTCGACTACTCTTGATGATGATATAGTTGTAGCGTGCACTTGCTCTTAAACTGCTGCGTCGAAATACACCGTGTAATATTTCGATGTTTCGAGTTGTATGACTCGTAACTCGTAATAAAAGAGTTAGAGTGATTGAAAGAATGAGAGAGAAAGAGATAAACAATGGTAGATCACAAATTTAATATAACTAGATATAGGATCAATCTCTTGTCAATCTTAATTAATTGTAAGAACAAAAATCAAGTAATATATTATGTTAAGGTACAATAATTATTTGGTTATATGTTTAACCCTTTGCACTGTGAATTATATTTAATTTTTTATTATAATTGTTTTTTTTTTCTTTACCAACCGTACATCTAACATTTTATAAATGTTTCATTTGAAATTTACATTAAATATTAGAGTGATTGAGAGAGAGAGAAAGAGAAAGAGATAAACAATCGTAGATCACAAATTTAATATAACTAGATATAGGATTAATCTCTTGTCAATCTTAATTAATTGTAAGAACAAAAATTATATTATGTTAAGGTACAATAATTATTTGGTTATACGTTTAACCCTTTGCACTTTGAATTATATTTAATTTTTTATTATAATTGTTTCTTTTTTTCCTTACCAACCGTACATCTAACATTTTGTAAATGTTTCATTTGTAATTTACATTAAATAAAAATAATATAGTAATTTTTGTGAATGAGTAAAGGGAAAGAAACTAAATTCGATTAAATAACCGTTTTATTTGTACTATTGTATTTAGTAATTTACAATGATATTTATTTATTTTTTTTTCAATAAAAATTGACATACATAGAAGTGCATATAGGATTAATTTTAAGATAATTAATAATCATTTTCGAAATGAACTATGTTAATGGGACCAATTGTCAAATATTTCGATGAATAATAAATCAAAGCAGTATTATATTAATCGTGTTGATGATTACGTTGATGTATGATCGTTAATGATAAGTAAGCAAGCAAGATACAATTGAGAAATGAAGTAAGAAACTAAAACGATACAAAAAAAAAAACTGTTGCAACGTTATCGTGAGAGTATCGGATGACTATATTTGTATGATTAAACAAGTTTGAAAAAAAGAAAAAAAAAAAACGAAAAAAACAAAAACAAAAACATAAAATATAAACAAAATTGTACAGAATGGAAAATGTTTGTCCTGGAAATAAACATGGGGTGCTCGTAAATGGAGGTAATCGTCGCGACAAAGGTAAACGGCATTGCAATTAACGTGCACGCGCCGGACAAAATGAAGCTTTACATTTATAGTTTATCCAAGCACGGGAAATATTCTCTCGCTTAATGCTGGAGCATTTAAATCAATTATAACGATTCGTGCCGGTGTTACTTGGACGATGTGCTCGCCCGTTAAATATAGAAACTGAATTCTCGTGAAAAATATATCCTCATCGATTAATCATATAATTAATTATTCATTCAAATCGCGTGATACACTTAGAATAAATTATTTTTATATTGAGAGAATATATTATTTTGAGAATATCCAAAAAAAAAATAAATGAACGGCAAAGATATCTTTTGATTAAAATAAAGAAATAGTTGTTAAATATATACTACAGAGAGATGAAGAATAATATTTCATTATTATTTATATTTTATACTTATAGCGACCGGATTTGAATGATTTTTTTTTATTAAATTAAAGTACACTCTTTTGTCTACGCGTAGAATACCATATCGAGTTATAAATTTAGCACGTAGAGTTCAGGAAATGTCAGATAATGCAATGCTGTAAATTGTGCATCTTTGCAATTTCTTTGAAAAGTTTTTGTAAATATTTTTTAAACTAAAAGTAAATAGATATTATTGAAACTTATATTAAATTAAAGTGCACTCTTTTATCTACGCGAAGAATACCATATCGAGTCATAAATTTAGCATGCAAAATTTAAAAAATGTCAGAGAATGCAATGCTGTACATCATTGAAATTTCTAGAGTTATTTTAGACACTTCGTATACAAACATCCATATGTTGGAGGATTTTCTGAATAGCCGATCTATTATATTATAATTCTAAGAATAATTCTAACAAGTCTATAATAGAAAAATAGAAAAAAAAAGAAAAAAGAAAAAACGAATATATGCAACTTACCGGAAGACAATTTTGATTTTTGTAGAAGCCAACTCTGCAGTGCCAATTTTTCTCGATGTTTGCAGAAAAATTCTGGCTTGATGCCGTTCCTCTTCAAAAAATCGTCGCATTTTTGTAAAACAGCTAATGCTTTAGCAGCTTCGTATTCGTTGATATCATCGAAAAGATCCTCAGTAGTATTATTGCTTATCGAATTAAAGGAGGAACGTTCCTCGTATGTTTCATCCGGTAAGAGCATGCCCATACCAGGTTCAAAATTGGCGGGCCAATCGCGACTTCCGGCTCGCGGCAAGCCTCCAAAACACATATTATTTGTTCTCGCAGGATTTGCGAGCACGTTTAAATCCTTATCACCCTTTCTTTCTTTCTCGAGACTATAGGAACGCGCTCGTATACCCATTCGCTTATTAATACGTTTCTATTGCGAAAAATGAGTCCGACATTTTGAAATGAAACGAATTACTTTTCTTTTCAATGACCATTCGAAATTTGTCTAATAAAACAAACAAACAAACAACGAGATGAAAAGGTAACAATACACAATCCAATTGAAGTATCGCGTATGATGTGATGTTGCAATTCTGTCCCAATCCTAAAGTTCTATTCTCTTTTTAATTCATTTGTTCGTTGTTTTTGTTTGGATCTAGGTGAACCGTTAATTGAACCAAGCCTTGGGAGTTATTTCTAACATCTTCTTTCTCTTTCTTCTCTTACGTTCTTCCTCCTTCTTCTTCTTCTTCTTCTTCTTCTTCTTCTTCCTTTTCTTATTCTTTTCCATCCAGCAAATTCGAAAACAGAGACTCTTCTTCAGTTTCCGCGGAAACGATAGGTAAGGTCTTCTTGAATTTCAAAAGCGTCCTACGTGACTACGTGTCAAGAATTCCTCTATACTTTTACGGTTCTTCTTCTTCTTCTTCTTCTTCTTCTTCTTCTGCTTCTTCCTTTTTTTTCTTTTTCTTACTTTCTTTTTTTTATTCAACCGCGGAATCGTAAATCGATCTAGTTTTCTTCAGAGTTCCAATAGCGATCCTCTCGATCCACATCTTCGCCGATTGATCCAAGAAAAGCGAGATGATCCTATTCCTTTTTCTTTCTAACAGGATTCGATAACCAAAGAATTCTTTCTTCTTCTTCTTCTTCTTCTTTTTTCTCTTGTTTTGTTTGTTTTTGGCTTTACTATACCGTTACTTATCAAATTCTCATCGCGAAATATTTCACCGAGGTAAAACCAACATTCATCTTTCTTCTAGATCATCGTTTACTTCGAATTATTTCACACGTTGATAAGGCAGATGATTCCTTCCTATCTCCAATTTCTGTAAATCAAAATTTCAGTATATTTTAATTTCTGTGTGTTCTAAAAAATAAATTTATATATATATATATAAAGTTTAAAATTAAATTATTAAATATTTATTATTATAGGAAAATATCTGATATATTAATTAAATCAACACGATGTATTATTACGATAATATGTAAATTTCATTTTGATCGAGATGATTTCCGTAATATTTACATTTATTTATAATCAAAACGGAAGGTCATTGACGTGATGTTCAATTTATTATATGCTTACATTTTAAAAAATGATCCTTTTTATGTTTTAATCATTTTGATTAACTTCCGATACACGCGTATGAATATTAACAAACATCAATTTAAAACTCGACTCACAAGTGAGACAGAATCCTCTCTATTGTTTTTTTTTATTTTTATTTAATCTTATTTTACTTTATAGCCAATTAAATAATCGGAAAAATACACTTTAATCGATTATACGCGACAATTATCCCCGTACTTTTTATCCAACAAAAAAAAGAAGAAAAAGAAAACAAAAACACGTCACATCAGCCAATAATCGCAAAAAAAAAAGAAAAAAAAAAAAAGAAAAACAGCACTCGTTTTCATGGGAAGTAAAAAAATTTTAAAATGCTTCTGGCGACCAGTGTTGCGAAGTTTATAGCGTACGCGGGATTATCGAGGATTATGGGGATTTTGTAGGACTATTTAACGACATGACCATTTCCATTTTCGAGTGCGGGTTCCAACAATGACACAATAACCGGCACCACAATCACCGTTACTAGCAATACCTTCGGTACTACTCTACATTTTCACTTGACAATGGGAATACGAAACGCCGGTAGATCGGCGGAAACGATTTATCGACTGACAAATCGTGAAATTACGTTCACCCTACCATAACCACCACCATAACCACCACCACCATCCGTGGGACGCGAGATTATCTTGGGGAAAATTATTAGACGAGCCCTTTCATCGTTCCCTTCCCCTTACCCACTCCTCCTACTTTATCATGTTTATCTAATTATCGTGTATCTATAGATTGTTTGACGCGTTACCACAATTGTTACGGAGTATATGTTTTTGATACCTATCGTTTGTTTCTTTTCGTTGGGAAACATAAAAATCATGATTAGAGAATCGTTAGAACAATTTTCTCTTCTTTATCGTAATAACAAATAAAAGAAATTATTAAATGAATTTGTATATCGATAATGATCTGATGATTTAACAGACAACATCATCATCGTCTTGTTTCGTTAGATATTAGACAAATATGATAAAATAACATAATGTACAAGTAGAGAATATATCAACCGTGTAAAACATCGTGTTACATATATTGTTTAGAAAAAAAAAATAATCCCGCAGGTGGTGGTGGTGGCTGTGGAAAGGGGAGGAGGGGGGATAGTGCCCAGCAGGAGGATACCAGTTTACAATGTACTTAAATCGCATAGAATGTTGTTATACACGAGTAGCACTTTCATGTTACTAGATAACCACAATTTCTTAAAAACCACACTCGGTAGTTTTCTTTATTCTTGTCTTCGCTTTTATCAATCTTTCTTCCTTGATATCAAATGATTAGGATCCAAAGAACGTTGTTGGATATGCTCGATCGAACGAGATTTTTCAATTTACGCAGGCGTGGAAAGAACTACGACCGTTTACGTCAATACCCAATCGATAGATCTATAGATCTGTAGATCGATTCTACTTGAGTTTCCGGGTTGTTGAGAAAGATATAGAAAGATCTGAGTTAACTTGATCGATATACCATTATCGATAAAATAGATCTTATATTGGAAAATACATTCTCTCGTGAAAATTATTATTCTCAACGTGCGACACAGAACCAACCAACCAACCAACCAAACCACACCGAGATAAATGATTTTTCATTTGATTTCATCTTGGTTGAGAATTTTAGCTCGGGGCTAGTTGTTGATCGAGAACACCAAGAATGATCTATCGATCCTATCGAGATCAACGTTTTTATTCTCTTGCTATACGGACAAGCGGTATTTAAACGTTATGTTCGATCCTTAAGTATACTGTTGATCATATAAATATTCCTATTGGTCGATAAATAATTTTTCAAATGAAATGATTCTTTTACTTTTCTCTTTTCATCATTTATTGTTAATCCGAATAAATTTGTATCTAAACGTTGGAAAAAAGTATTAAATAAAATATAAACTAGTATGATATTAAGTGTTGTTTTATAATATAATTATACTATAATATTGAATTTGTGACAATGAGGAATAGTTAGGAATCATTAATTAAAAAATTTATTATTTATATTAAATACACACGATATACACATAGTTTCTAAGATATTTTATTAGTCAATGCTATATTATTTTAATTGAAAAGAAAATAAGGAAAACAAATCATTAAATAACTTCAATTGAAGGACATTATTCTTTAACGATCATAAATTATTCCTAACACAATTTCTATTACAATATTAAATTAATATAAATTGACAAATGATAATAAATAAAATGAATATTTAACATCATAACGAATATATATATATGAATAGTGAATACACATACGACACATAGGAATTGAAAATCAATAATAAGATGAATAAGTTCTTCTTAAGTATAGAAATGAATAGAATGGAAGAAGTTCATGCACATAAATAAGCCATAACGATGTACGTGTCATATGATGGATAAGCAATCAAAGGACCATGGTAACGTTCGAAATTGGTCTCACTGATCGACGATGGGACGATTTCGAATACGAGTTACCAACGATAGAACGGAATAATCGTCGAATATCGACGTACACGCGTGTGCGTGAAAATCTATGCGCATGTGCGTCCCTGAGAACATGTATCTGTATATGTGTGTGCATGCATGTGTACGCTCGTGTACGTATACAGACAGATTTGCGTGTGTTGAGAACATGCATGCTACTTTATATATGTGTGATATACGTGTATATGGTAAATCGTACACCTTCATTCTCCTGATCTATTCATCTCTCGATTATGCCACTCTATTGCGCACGCGAGCGCATCACTTTTATCGATTTGCACGTTACCATGAGAGGTATGCTAACTTGAGGATGGATTTTCAGGTATTAACTGTTTTCAATCGTTACGAATTTAAATGATTTCATTATATTGAAAGTATATATTATTAATTTAATAGATCGTAGTTTTTGTTTATTTTATTCAGAGTGTTGTATCTACGAATTTTTCGTTATTTTCTAATATTTCTGATCGATATTTTCTTGGCTTGTTAGATGAAAGATCTTTAATTAAATTAATTAATCATTCATTTGTAATTTTGTTCTTTCTTTTTGACAACGAAAATTGTATCTAATTTATATATAAAATACTTTTAATTGTTACTTACTTATTGATCACGCAAATACACACACACACACACCACATAATTCATCAATTCTCAGTCGAGAATAATTATAAGTAATTTTTATTGACGTGTGACAAATTTTTTGTGTGACACGAATTTTTACAAATAATATTACAAAGATAAGTGTGAACGGATATTAATTGTTATACAATGTGTAACAATATTATTATTAATTAAAAGAGAAGAGAAAATCTTACTACTTTTTTTATAATTTACATAAGAATATTTGTAGATTCGCAAAATATTACAATAACTTATGAGAAATTCTTCCGAAAAAAATTGATAATTGGTTACGATGGTACGTTTATCAGTGTTAAGGGAAAATTAGATTCCCTCTCACTCTCTCTCTCTCTTTCTCTCTTTCTTTCCTTTTCAATGTTCAAATGGAGTTAAGGGAAAGCCCTTTAGGATGATAGATGTCTTCCGTATCGATTACTATTCGCGATGGCTTGGCGAATTACGTAAGGAGAAATATAACGAGGTTGTGAGTGCAAAGAGGGAAACACGGGCACGTCACGGTGCCGCCCTTCCTACTGCCCTTCCTACTGAGCAGTCCCTTCTTGCTCTGGCCTGCTGTTCGTTGGTCGACCAGCCGCCGACTTGAAATTTATCGCACGCTAATGCGCGTTAAATTCCGTCCCTTATACGTAAACTCTGACTTAATATTACTACTAAATGCTTAACGAATTACAATTACTTCCAAATTATTTGTTTCCTTTGTTTTTTTTTGTTAACACAATAGATATGTTCTCCAAAAAAGAATAAAAGTGTAAAAAGAATATATTGCTTTTAACTCAAATTAAATGATCGATAAAGGGAATAATTTATATCTTAGAATTCGGTTAATGTCAATCGACAAATGAACAAATAATAATAATTCAATCAAATTTATAATATACTATTTAAATATTAAATTATATTTCTATGCAATGTATCTAATATAAATTTATTATTACCAAATATAATTCTACGTTCACCTATATAAAATTTACATACATATATATATATAATATGATATATAATAATATGATAAAATATAAACTGTCTCTAATTTATTTAATTTGAATTTAAATTTAAAGTTAAAATGCTTTAATAAATTGATTAGACGATA